ACCGTACTACTAGGAAAAAACATCAAAAATGAGAACAAGAACAACAAACCTGCTTCATAAAGGAACTGCGGAAGTTGTGTTGACTTTTCACTCCCGGTTTCGCCAACAATAACAAGGGACTGTGAATCCTTAACAGCCTGAAGAATGTCTTTTTTGTGTTTTTGAATTGGAAGCGAAACAGAACCGGAACTGTCAGTCATGGAGGCTGCCATCTTGAATGATCGGTTACGTAGCGAAGGTAGAGGCGCCAGACTATTATTACACATAAAGCTATCAATTTAACAGTTGAATCCTGGACTTCTTTCCACCACAACTCATGTACATACAGTATCCAACGGTAAACATCTTTTCATTATGTTGTGCAATAAGTTTGTCGATGTTTGGTGCAATTTTGTCTTCCGAAGCTAGAGGCTGTATAAACATGATAAAAGAAGATCAGAAATCATGTTGTCACTCATCAGAACACAAAACACGGGTTGCTTGCCCAAGTCGTCAGGTTTTCTGTGCAGGAGTGTGATCAGATTCAGTGGTACGGTGACGTGAACAGGAAAGGGTGGGTTCAGAGCAATGGGTACCGACCACTGTCGGCTGAGCATGGCATTATTACTCTTAGGAGTGATGAGGGGGCAGGGCGCGTTTAACTTTGTATAATTTCAGGTAGTTTCACCCTCTTGTCAAGTCTTTTAGATCAAAGGACATGAAAGAATAAATGAAACGCATGAAATCAAGTTTTTAAATGTACATGTGGTGTCTTTTGACACTTGATTTCACTTTGAACTCATTCTACATGTAAGTTAAAGTACATGCTCTGTCTGTGATACTTCGATGGGATTCTTTTGACACTCTCTTAACATCATCTTTGACATCACTTCTTAACATTTGGACATGGGCAGCGATAGCAGCAAACATGATAATAATTTTTTTTTTTTGAGAGTGGGAATTTTGGTCCAGTCAGTTTAATGCACTGAGTCTGAGCATTGCACATGTATGTACATGTATTGAACTATATTCACGAGCTAAGATTTCTAAAGCTAGCTTTCCAACAGATGCAGTACATGTATGTGAGCTATTTTACAGAGAAATGAAATGCTGAATTAATTGAAAACTTTGGTTTGAATTTTCAGCTATTAATTCCTGAACATCTGTGTGATGACATGTTAATAAATATTAATTTTCTTTTATTATGAAAATACAATATGCAGCTTCTGACTAGTGCTGGCAAGTAATGACATTAAAATTGTCAAGAAACAAGGCAAGGCAGCTCACAGATGGTACATGTGGAACACTCTTGGATGACATTCCAGCATACACCCATGATTTCTAGTATTTATTAACAAATTCAAGTATTAATACAGTGTCATTTTTACAGCATATGTCTTCATTCCTTGCAATTAATCCCAGATCATGGCTCTGGACCCTTATTCTCATTTCTCAGAGGATCTGTCTAGTGAACTGGAGGCCCTCCGTGCAATATTTGTGGGTGAGGGAGAATTTAAAGTTGAGGAGTTACCAAAAGATGGAGACTATTGCTGTGTGGTGCAAGTGCAACCAGAAGGTCTGGCTCAACTACAGCACTGCCCAGAAATCAATTCTGGACACTGTGGAGATGTTCAAAAAAGAGAACCAGAACACTGAGGAGAAGGAGGCATGTGATGCAGTGGAGAATGAGGAGCGAATGGAAGTAACAGAAGAATCACAGCAAGAACATGCTACACTACAAACAGAGAGGAGGCAGCGACCTTCACGCAGCCCCAATTACTTCTTTGCTATCCGCATCACCGATCCCGTCATCCGTAGGTGTGTCTAACGCATCCAGAATGCAGTCTGTGATGAGGAGCCACGTCTGGAGAACTGGCGCACTGACACTGCCCGTCTCCACCTCACACTGTGCACAACGGGCCTGGACGGCCAGGAGGATATGTCCAAGGCCATCCAAGTCCTCAAGGTGCTCCAGGGAGACATCTCCAGCCTCCTCTCCCTTGTCACCATGCTCAGGTTTCAAGGGTTGGACCAATTTCACGGCCGCATCCTGTACTCTGCTCCAGAGGAGTCCCCGGCTCTGGCTAAACTCTCCCAGATGCTACAGGTGGGGTTGGCTGAGGCAGGAATCAATTTAGCGGGCAATCGTCCCAAATTCAGCCCCCATATAACTCTCCTAAAGGTGGATT